GTGTGTGTGTGTGTGTGTGTGTGTGTGTGTGTGTGTGTGTGTGTGTGGGTGTGCACCCCTCATGTTAGCAGCTAACATCTTGAGATGTTAAAAGGACCAAAGCTTCTCAGGTTTCCTCCACGTTAGATCCGTTCATGGGCGAAATGTTCTTCCAAAGACATGCGGATCAGATCAATTCAATTTCCTCCAGATGAAACAAAGCATCAAGGGCTGACATTTAGACTTACCTGAGCTGCATCTCAAGAAACTAAAGTAATAAGATATCAAGGAATGAATTCCCAAAGATGCAATAAAGTAAAAATAACAATTGTTTCATCTGTGGCCATAAAAGACGACTTTTTTTCTAATGAAATCCCATCCAGTGTTGCTTACTTGTACAAAATCTCAACAAATCCTCATGGTAAAAAGCTCCTTTTGACTTATTTTTTGACAAAGTATGTGCTTTACCCTGTAAGGTGTCATGCCCTTTGCCCTCTGACACTGTGACCTTCTGTCACTGAGCCCCGTTCATCTTCCTACAAGCATTTCTGATGTGAGGGAAGCCTCAGCTCTGTTCTTCAGGATCCAGCAGCACCAGAGGCTATAACACATGCTCAAACTGTGGCCCATCAGGTTTAGATTAGCTGTAAATTTCTAAAGAATGCTTCCCTGCTCTTCAAGTGCTATATTTTCACCCATCTCCCAGTCCTGATTCCCACAGACTCCTGCTGCTTTAAGGCAGAGGGTCATGCATGTGTGTGCATGTGCAGAGCTGAGAGCACAGCCTTGTTTGTTTTTTAGGATTTCACCACCAGAGAGCGTTGTTGACTCCACTGAGTCCTGACAGGATCTCGCATTTGTTTGAACTGCTGCAGCAGTGTCCTCTTACATGTGAAGCTCTTCAGTGACTATCATCGCTGTTTCTTTCCTTAAAACAGTTTGACCTTTCTGTGACACTCCTGCTAACAACCCATTCAGTGCTTCTCCAACTTAACCACCTCTCCAGAGAGTTGATCTCTCTCCCTGCTCTGCACTGTGCCCTTTCTCGACTCTTCATCAGAGTTAGGATATGAGGCCTCGGTGCTGCTGAGGGCCTCGTCTCCCAGGTGGATTCTCAGGTTGCCACCGCGGCCTTTGATGGTGAAAGTTGAGGAGTTCAGGTCTCAGATGGATCCCCTGCAGGCGGGCAGGCACACAGACGGGCTCTCGTTAAAAAAGCACCACCTTTGTGTTCCCACAGGAGATGGATGTAATTAACATAGCTTTAATACTACCTGTGTTTTCAGCTGCTGTTGTCAAGGCTACTTCTGTTTGGGTTTTGTATGCATTGAGGGATGGGGTAGGCAGTAGCATGCACTGGTATGGCTGCGCACATGGAAGCAGATGAGGGCTGTGGGGGTGGGATTCAGCACACAACCCTGGTGGGCTGGGCTGATGTAATGCTCGATCTGGACCCTGTCTGAGCTCCTTTCTTTGTAGTCAGAACGTCTAGAAAGTTGGGCTATGTTGTCCACGGATATAATAAGCAAGCAGCAATCTCTTTCATCCACATTTAGCTCCAAAGGAAAACTTACGATACTTTGACTTCTCTAACAGCACTGCTAATTTCCTCTTTAACCAAATTCGATTGGATATTTATTATGGACATTCCCATTTGAGGTTTTTCAAAAGTATAACTGATATATATTGTAGCTTTTTCCTGCAACATTTGCTATTTACTATTGTTGACAGAAAATATTCACTAAAGTGAGAAAAATATTTTTGGTCTTAGATTATTTGATGAAATAATAAGGGGATTTTGCTCTGCTCTAATTAAGGTTAGATTAAAGGTGGGAGTATGACATCATTTTTAAAAGGTTGCATTCTGGATGTTCACACAAAAATGGATGGGTGGTATTATAAGAGTTTTTCACTCTGGAATGCTGTTTCAATGTGGACGAAATGCTGAAACAATTAAAAAAGAAAGCTGGATTCACAAAACATTGTTCCTGTGTGGATGGCACCTTAGACATTCATGTCTTCGATATTAGGAATGGATTCTAAAACCTTTGGTCTTAACTTTTAGAGATTTTTATGAGCAGGCTCTTCCTTTCGAGTCAGCCATACTTCTCATCTGAGGTCAAATCATAACCTTTTGGTGGTTCTCCGCAATCTCTTCGGGACTTGAGGAGGCCAGTCTTTTTAAGCAGCAGCACCCAGACTGTCGATTGCACCATCGTACTTTTTTTTACGGAGTTTGGACTCGAACTTTAAAAAGCTGAAGATTATAATCTTTAACTCTTTTTTTCTCTCTCTTTTGCATTACAGGATGTTCTGAAAGAGTGCCAGGAGCAGATCGAACGCGTGCTGGAGAGCAGCCTACGTGAAGGGCGACAGCAGCAACAGCAGCAGCAGCAGCAGACTCAGAGAGGTCCCAGTGGGAAAGGCCTGGACGAGCTGGATCAGTCCTCCACCCCGACAGACGTCCGCGATGTCAACTTGTGAACCAGCGGAGCGCACCGTTGCACAGGATTTACAAAAAGGAAAAAGAAAAGAAAAAAATGCATTCTTAAAAAAAACCTTCAATTTTTCTAAAAGCTGAAAAAAAGAACAAAATAACAAAAATAGTAGAAACACAAGCCCATGCTTGCTAGTTTTTTGTAGATTGTATTTTGATACAAAAAACACCTGCACATGACATAGATTTTCTATAGTCTAAAAGCAACAAATTTGATGAAGCTCCGTGGTGCCTTGGATACACAGAAGGGAAGTCAATCATCTTTACATTCTGCCTTTGATTGTATAGTATGATCTTTAAGTTATATTTTAACCTGAGCTTGATGATGAGACTCTATGGTTGAAGTAGTAGAAACGGCGTACACAGGATTGCAGCGGGGCTTACCGTCTTTATTTCCTCTGTTAGTATTAAATGATCATAGTTCAGTTTAGGCTGGTGTAAACTGAGGTTGTGTCCAAGCCCCCTGACCGTTAGAAAAAGTCCACATGTGTTGAAGACGGAGCCAAGAATTGTAGCGAAAGGTGGTGTGTCCCATTTCTAGGCAAAAGCTTGGGATGATAATAGTTAGTAGTATTAGTATGTACTATTATGAATATCATCATTGTGCATATTTGTAACTGAGTAGTAGATCAATAAGCTCCTTTTGTCAGGCTGCTTGGATGCGTCTGTGGATGCCGTGTGTGAGTGTGTGTGTGTGTGTGGATATAACGTGATCCTGTATCTATATTAGCAGTATGTGGTCTATGGCGTCAGGCACTTGAGCAAAGCTGTAGACTTTACAGCTCTTTGTGAAATGAAAACGAAACGAGTCCAGGCTATACGTACTTTGTCAGCCCTCGTACTGGGGCGTCTGTGCCAAGTTGCTGCTTTTGTGCATTAACGGTGCGCCGCGGTTCACTATTAAATACAAAAACGGTGTGGATAGTGAACGAGACAGACACTGAAAGTTCTGGGCCAAGGGACAGTTGTAGAGACTTGTATCTGCCTCAAAGCATTTCACTTTCGTCTCACAGGCAGTGTGAGGTGTTTTACTGCTATTGACACGATGAGATATCACAGATACTTTCGATTTACCTATATTCTTCCTCTTGTTGTAATGTTAAGTTGTGAAAGGCTGCTTGGAGTCGAAAAACACGTGAGAACAGTGCCTCGATGAACTTTTTAAATCGGAACTCCTTTGCGTAAACTCGGCAGGGAGGAACGGGGGGTGATGGTGAGATTAGGAATGACCTAAAACAGCTCAGAAGTCACTGTGGAGGTACAGAGAGGAGGTGCAGGAGCATGCTGCTGTGTAGGAGATGTAAATGATATTTAGCCAATGGCTGGAAGAGATGTAACAAATAAAACACCTGCAAGTTTCACTATGAAAGTTTGACATCAGCATATATGGATAGAATCAACGTTTTCTACTGGATGTCTGAAAATAAAGGCTCAGACAGAAAAGAAATCTGGGTTTCCATTAACATGGAGATCTGCAAGCAGATCATGAAAGGATCAACTTTTTCTAGGGGGTGGTGGGTGGGGGTAGGGTTAGAGGATAATACGTATACTGTCAATGCATCTGGAGTCCCATATAGGGTTCTTTCCAGCTCCCCAATTTCAATGTCAAAGCACTTTGAGAACATGCTCCCCAGGAGATGAGTAAAATAAAATGTCAGTGATTGGAAGTGAATGGATAGGTTTTTTTTTTTTTTTTCTCTCATTAGCCTTTTCTTTGGTTTACTTTGTAGGGCTGGTTTCCCAAACATCAGACATACCTTTGACAAACATTTTGAAGGACATTCCGATATAAATATCAAAATAATGACATTCCTGTTCAAGCAAATCCAAGATTTGTCCAAGAGTTTGGACAAATAAAACAATGCCAACATTCATGCTGATAAGTTCTTCATGGGGTTGATTTGACTTTTCTTTTCCATTGTCGAGAATTGAAAGTTTTTGTTTATTTTTACTTGAATTTTATTTATCTGCGTCACAGCCACAGAGAGCCACGCGAGGCGGCGATGAGCTACAAGACCGGGTGGTTGAAACGTACGTTTTTTTTTTTTTGCACGTTCTTTAAGGGGCAGCCGTGGTTGCAATGTCAGACACCGCACCGGTTTTTCTTCAAAACCACCTTAGCTGATGTGTGTCGTGGCGATGGTTCAGTTTTAGTATGGTGCTGGCTTGTGAGGGGCCAAACACATCTGTCCCCTGTGAGCTTTGCTGCTTTAAATCATGGACGGGGCCAGAAAAACGTTAATACAAATAATGTTGTTGTTTTTTTTTGTTACCGTTTTATTTTCATTTGCCACATTTGCCACAAGGTGTCTGACTTAACGTTTCAAATGTGTGACCTCGCTGAATGTGCGTCTATCAGTCTGTAAAGAAAAAGTGGGGATTTGATGTTTTTCAGTCAAACTGAACAATTTATTGACACGTTTGCCAAAACATCCCCAGCTGAAACCCTGTCATTTTGCCTCTGTTCGCCTGATGTAAGCTCTCTTCCAAACTTTGTTGTGATTTTTTTTTCCCTGCAATTTATTGTTGCATGTGTTGTATATTGACACCATGAATCAATTTTTTTTGTTTGTTTTTCGGGGGCGACCAGACCCACAGGAGGGTTCTTCTAGGATTTAGAGATACTGTATTCCAAAGTAAAGCGAGTACTAAGGAGGTGTGAAGACATCGACGTAAAAAAAAAGTGTCAATATTTTATTGTCTTTTTGCGCTGCTAATAGCAATGACTTTGTTTCATTATACAAAAAAAAAAAAATAACATTACCTAGTCGTGATGTGTCACTTGTGTGCTGCTATTTTATAAACGTTTGTATTATAATAAAATTATTTTACTGCTTTTAAAAGAGACATCCTGAAAAACAAAGTAGATGGTGATAGAAGAACATGAGATGAGTATTTGACTGGAAATGTTTTTTGTACAGTTAGATAGCATATTTCATTTCCTACCCCCAACCCCTCGCTTTATTTTTTTTTTTTTTGTTATCTATTTTACTGATTGTTTTCAGTCACATTCTGCATCAGTGGTATTTCCAATACCTCAGGATTTACTGGACAAAACAAAACACAAATCCACTGCATATACCTCTGCATCGAGGGAGCCTGGGACAGAGAAGAATGGATCCTTTGAGGAGTGCGAGAAAAACCCCTTTCCAGATGATTCCCACTGTTTGGGTGGCGCTACAACCTCCTCAATGAGAAGGAAAACAAGAAATATGCAAGGCTTCCATTTGGACTTAAAGCATACTGGAGGGAGAGGGGGGATGGACAATTAAAGTAACATTTCCATTGAGGGATTTTATTTTATTATTTTTTTTTTTGGTTGCCAAGAATAGTTCAGATGTGTTTGCTTGTCCATGTTGGTGCTACATTTGCCTTGTGATCTATTCAGAGGGAAATATCCCCCATGGTGGCCAAAGTCCAGATGTTGCTTTATACAACCACGATCACAATGAATGTCATTAAATCTGGAGATTTGTTGTCGTTTTGGTTTAAAAAAAAAAAAAAAAAAAGTTTTCTGCACCATTAAAGCTGTCTCATCACATTCAGTTATAAATAATCTGCTATCCGGAAGTTTCAATGGTGCAGAGTTCCCCTTGTGCACCCCCCCCCCCCCCCTTTCCCTCCACTATATTGTGTACCTCAAATGTCTGTTGCACAATCTCTGCTCAATAAACTTCTGCTTTAAAGGGTGTGACACCAAATCAGCTCGTGTTTTGTTTTTTTTTTCCTCCCGTGTGTGATGGATCAGTAGTTCAGGTGTGAATTTGAGCGCGAGTCAGGAAAACGCAACGAAGTTCATCGAACAGCAGCGATAAACATGACAGAATCCAGAAATGGGTTTGATTAGATATAGGTATATTTTTAGAGGAATATGCCTCATCTAAAGCATTTTCAGTGCTAAAAAGCCCAAACCCTTAAAACCATTACACCAGTCCAGTTCTGATTTCGTGAGCAGCTTTTCTTGAGACTTGGAGACCAGACGGTCCACTTTAGTCCTTATAACTGAAGCCGTGCTTTTATTATGTGACAAGTTTCTTTGATAGATTTATTTAACGAGTGAACAAATTATGCACTGGTGTTCTAATGGTTTGGTCTACTCAATGCTACTTTGACTGCAGTTAATTCATTTTTTTGAAAGTGGATCTGATCCTGAGTAAGCCTCGTTGTTGGAAAAACAATTTAAATGTTGGCATGTTTAATTCCCGCACCCCCCCCAATCTAAAATGGATAAAAGTGTTGGTGTTTTTAGCATTTTATAGCCGAGTCTCACTCAGTTGTTTCCAGTTCAGTGTTAACTATATGTTCCATATTCCTGCCATCAAATAAAATGGCTTTGATTGACTTCCTGTGGGATAACAACTTGCTTGCCATCAACTTCAACAGCTGTGGATTACCAAGAGGATAATGTGAATATGATAAACTGTACTAATCCAGAATAAAACATGTCTTTAATAAGTTTAACTAGTGATAACTTACGTTCAGAATGATTAAAAAAAAGCTGCAACAGTTAATGTTTGGGATATTTTTGGGGATACTTGCTGCCCTGTAACACGACTTCCTGCGTGCTGGCATTTGGTTGAACCATTACATATATATATATACACACAAAAATTTGGCCAAATGTTCCAGATCAATCTCGTCTAAATCATGAAAAATATTATTGTCTAAAGAAATGTTTTACATTTTGTCTAATTCCTGCATTGAACTGTGGCGAGAATCAAAAAACTTAGACAAATTGTCAGTCTTTGCTCAAACCTCTTTGGTGCAGTTAGAATTGTATTTTTCCAGATAAAGTGATACGCAATTTTAGAATGTGGGTATGCACCCAATGTAAACAAAGCATTTTAAACTACATGGTTTACGTAACAAATCTGACGTACGTATCAATGCAGCAAAATGACTACTTCTCCATATCAAATGGCTCTAACATGGTCATCGTCAAACTATTTTCTTTATATCTTTGGCTGTTTCTGTAGATAAACAAGCGCACAGCTGTATTTAAGGCCACATTAACCACCATATGAAAAAAATAATGTTTTCTTGAACTGATCTTCGTGTCTTTGCAACATTTTTACCTCGAAACACGCAACAAAATAATTCATTTTTCTGTCTGAATCCTTTGCGAGCAGGCTTAATTAGACTTTTACAAATATTTCCAAACTTCTCAAACTGGTTATTTTACTCCACAAGACGTACTGCTTAACGATGATGAACTGAATAACAAGTGACAAGCACCTGAAGGGTAATTTTATTTAAAAAAATAGAATAGAAAGTACATTTTAGACACCTGTACATTGTTTTGAAAATGTTATAAATTTAGCATGAAGAGTAACATTGAAACTAGAAATAAACTATGGGGAAAAGGTTCTTGGATTCACTGCATAGTGCAGTGATTTTGGACAAATATTGACATAAGTACTGTAAAAAAAACTACTTTTTAACTGATTGTACAAGAGTTGGGCAACAACTCAAGAGTATGAGCTGCTTTATTTTAGCTGCGTCTTCATAATAAACTATTTTCAGCCTTTGTCGAAGCCTTATTTAAAGCCTCTTGGTGTTTAGCTTTACAGTACAGTACCTGTGAGATGAGCCATTTGTTGTTTTGATCCCACTAGAGTTTGGACTGAATCACTTTCTGAGCGTCCTGGACTCCGTCCGCAGCATGAAGGCGCTAACGTTCGGGCTAACCCTCGTCCGGCAGTAAGTTGTCTTAATGATGACATTTATGCTACAGTAACTGCCCCAGCTGTTGCTTTTCGGCTATTTTCACGGGTTGTGACTTGTTTTTAAAACTAAAAGTATAAATTGATGCGATATATGGTTGAAAAATACTTGTGAAAACCGTTAACGCTATAATTATAGCCTAGCTTGAGTCGCGTTGTAGCAGCAGGTGTTTCATAAATCACGTGGTGTCTGAACACGCTGCAGTGTCACATAATGACCACCAGAGGGGAGCATTTCACTTTGAATTAGAGCATCTTCGCCAAGTTCAAGTCAATTATTTGATTATATTAGCTAAACATTATGTTCATAAATGTCGTTGTTTTTGTTTTTTGTTTTTCAAATGAACCACTGGAAGAATGAGCTCAAGTCCTATGCAAAATCTTTAAAATACGTAAAAGGAAAAAAAAAAATGCTGGCAAATTTCTTAGTTTCTTGATTAATTTCAATTTCCTCATATAATGCCTTTTTTTTGTCTTCTTTTTATCCTTCTTTATTTTTTTATCACCTTTTGTAACTTTATATATATATATATATATATATATATATATATATATATATACATATATACATATATGTGTGTGTGTGTGTGTGTGTATAGTCAATAGATGTTTTTTCAGCTATGGTGAAATCAGTATTAGAGCCCTAAAGAGAGGGTAAATGCTGAGTCAGCATATTTTTAACAACATTCAAGATTTGTGATTTTTACATCACTGCCTTGTTTGTTGTAACTCACATTTATGAAAACATCTGTATTAATTCAGTTTTTGTATATCTTGGCATTTTTGTAGGTTGATGTTGAATGGGGGCTCTTTTAGTGTTTGTGGAAGCATCAAATTACCTAAAATCTGATTAAAAATAACAGAGAAACACATTTTAATATTTGACAGTTTTAAGGTCTGAAATCCCAGCAGACTGTCGGAGATGGGGTTTTTTTTGTTTGTTTGTTTGTTTTTTGGAAAATGCAATTTGAATTTTTCTTTTTTTAAACAAAATCTTTTATTTTCCACAGTGCGGAAACGATGTACAACCAAAAAGGACTTTTACAAGGTATGGGCTAATTACTAACACAGTTTGATGATTATTGTTCAGGTAATAAACTCTTATATTTGATGCCATATTGTCACTTTTTCTGTCTGTCCCTCCAGGCCAGGCGATAGACTCCCCTCTGTCTGAAACTGGGCTGCAGCAGGCGGAAGCTGCAGGACTCTACCTGAAAGACGTTGTGTTCAGCAACGTGTTTGTCAGCGATATGCTGCGGGCTCGGCAGGTGAGAGGCTTCACGTGCATCATGGGAGGGAAGTATGAACCTAGTATGTTTAGTGGAATATGGCAGGATTGTTTATTTTACAGTAAAAATGCACGACACGATTTTGTGCTACACTCTGATTTTAATTTTTCATGGCTCTGCTGTTATGACGTCATTCTTGGTAATTATTGCAGGAAAATAGTTACTGCTGTGAAATTAGTGCGCTGAACCAGCTGATATGAAACCGCACCCTAAAAACTAATTTCAGTCTTGTCAAATTATGGTAAACTAAACTTAATTTTCATTAGTATTTTAGTGTAAGTTACAAAATCATCATAATAGGTGTGATTTCTTCAGCTCAAGCATCATTTGTGGACGATTAAACAGGAAATGGCTCCTGTATAAAAAGAACACTTTTATTTGTTTTTGCCTCCAGACAGCTGAAAAGATAATGCAGCACAACAGCAGCTGTTCAGGTCTTCAGATGGTGTGTGACCCGTTACTTAAAGAGAAAGTGAGTGGTGATTTATGTTATTTTTACAGCAATGCGTACTAGATAAAACTTTATCTGAAATCAGTTTAAACCTACATCTTTGGGTTAATGACTTCAGAGCTTTGGGATCGCAGAGGGGGGACGAGTTCAGGACTTCAAGGAGATGGCCAAGGCAGTGGGTGAGCCGTTTCCAGACTTCACCCCTCCGGGGGGGGAGACTCAGGAGCAGGTGAGGCTCCACCTGTTTTTCAGCACAAAGCTGTGTAATATTTTCTACTTTCAACACCATTCTTTGCCATTTTCCTCTCTTATTAACATTTTAAAGAGCATCACTAAGTCTGTCATAAGAACGACTAAGTGCACCTTTTTGTTTTTTTTTTACTAAATATTATACAACTATTTACAATAATACACACTCGTCAGTGTTTACATATACATTTTGTTTTGCTCATTAGACAGACTGAAATTGAATTAGCTGCACATTTTTATGACTGCCATGGTTACATGCGTTGTTTTCTTTAAAAATAAACCCTAATTATACGTTTTTAGTACCACAGTTAATATTTCTGGTTACATTTAGTTTGTCTTGAAACCTAACAACTCATCATCACATCAGAAAATGTGTTTTTCATTAGGTTAGTAAAACAAACAAAAAAAGTCATTTTTTTGTTCAAACGTTTGCTTCTCTTCCATTTATTATTAATGTGGAGAGCATAACAAAAACAGTATTAATGTGAAACTGTCTTATGAGGAAATGACACCACCTATTATTAATAATAATATGATAAAGCTATATGATGACAGAGCTTTGCTTGATAAAAATAAAATAAACAGAGGAGATCTGTTGAAGAAAATGAGTAAAATAATCAACTGTAATGTTTGTGAGTTAACAAACCAGAACATTAGAATAAAAAAAAAAACAGTCAGTTCAGTGGAGTCAGCTCAATAGAATAAATACTGAATAAATATTAAGTTCTTAAAATAATAAGACCTTCTGGGAGCCAATTACAGTTAAAATTACGGCGTATTTTACACATATAAAACTATCTTTTATTACAAATGTAGATCTTATTTTGATTTGCCTAATATGGGCATGCAATACACACCTACCGCCACTAGGTGGTAATGACCGGCTGCTTTTGTATATTTCCTAATTGTCTTCAAAACAACTCGTTTGAATGACAGAAATGAACGTATTTGTTCCTCTTTTGTCAAACGGCTGCAGAAATATCACTTTCTACTTTAAACTATTTGCGTTTAAGATTGTGTTGTGTGGTTCTGTGGTGTTGAAGGTGAAGATGTTCTGGTTTTTAAGACGCATCAGACTAAATTCATTAGATCTTGGGCATGAATTTGAATAAGTGAGCAGAACAAGATGTTTATGAGGAAGTTGTACATAATTAGGCATTTTCTGTCTGAATCAGGTGTCCTGTTTTAGTGCTTGTAAATAATTTTTCACTTTGTGTTTTTCTGCTTTAATTGCATACTTTGGCTTTTATTCAAAGTATCATGCTGTTTATGAGGGGGTGCAGGAGAAACGTTTAACAAGTTTGTGGTGTGTTCAGGTAAAGGAGCGAGTCAAAACGTTTTGGGACAAAATGCTTCAACGAATTGGGGCCGTCCACTGGGATGACAGGAGGCAGGAGGAGGCCCCACCACGTTCATCTGTGGAGGGAAAAGCAGATGACGGCGTGGGGGACGTCCCGGTTCATGCGCTCGTCGTCACCCATGGAGCTTACATGCGCGTGGCTCTGCGTTACATCGTGGAGGAGTTGCATTGCTGCTTACCTCGTGGCTGTGACGAGGTACACGTGTTCTCTTTAAGTCCGAACACGGGACTGTGCAGGTTTAGGCTGAACGTCACCAAACAGGGGAACAGGTTTGTTCTGTTGGACGTCCGCTGTGTGTTCGTTCACAGGGCAGAACACATTCAAAAGTAGGAACTCAGAAAAAAAAAACAAGGTCATTACTACTAAAAAGTTTAATTAATTATTAAGTGTTTTCACTGTAAAAAATTAACCCCAGAAGCAGAATTTTATGGGGCTTTTATGATAACTACCTTTTAAAAGAGTTGCTCAGAACGCTCAGATCTGATGAATTTTAAACTTACCAGCAGAATTAGAAATAAACAAGATAAATCAAAATGCAGCACTGCTGCAGGGATGCATTTTGATTTAGAGGAAGTTCTGTTTGTACACATTGTTTAACAGAACAAATGACACGGTGTTGTTTATTGTGTTTTTATTTATTGTGCAAAAAAAGAAGGGTTGCAACTAAACACTGGATATGATTTATTTTAGGGCAACATTTTGAATGAGTTAATTAAAAGATTATAATTTTTAAAAAAAGATTTTCTGGTTAAAAAAAAAAAGCAAAATGAACATCCTCTAAGAATGATAATTTCATAACCGATTGGTTTTACAGAAAGAAAAATATTTAGAAATAATTAATATTTTCATGTTTTGACACTGAATACAAAATGCTCTCTTCAGAATTCCCTTTAAACTATAAATTTTGTGTCACGCTGAATAAAACAAACCCATATTTTTGCGTGAAGCACCTTTTCTTGTTGCAGCAGCGTTTGAAATTGAACATTTAGGCCGTCGTGGGATGAACTAACCAGAACAAAATGTTTGTGTTGCAGAGAAATGTCATCATGTCTTCATCGTTACTCTCCGTGCAGGAGCTAAAAATAGCTCCTGTTTCTATATTTATCCTCTGAGACTTCACAGATTTGAAACTAGAACACAGAAATGCAGCAGAGCTGAGTGACGGTGCAGTGGAGTCAGATTTGGATTGTAATCTTCTTTTGTCAGGTTTGAAAGCTTTGTCCCATTTAGCACGTAAATATAAACTTCTCTGCCTTTCGTATAATCCCAGATTCTTAGATCCTTTCACTTTAGCCTTTCTAAGCTCTACATTATTTTAGAAACGTCATGTTTTAAATATGCTTTGTAGATAATGTTGATTTGATTTAAAAAATAAACTAGAGAAATGGCATTTCCTGCGAAAATTCAGTGTGAATGCTTCTTGCTGAAGAACTTGCTGCAAAACAGCTGAAATTACGTAGATTAAAACATTCTGAAATGTAGCTTAAATGGAAGAACAAGCCTTAACAGAAGAAAGCAGAAAGAACACATATATGCTGAAATAGGTTTGAAGTAGCCGAAATTAGCACAAAAATGAGGAAATTAGCTTAAAAAAGCTGAAATTAGCAAGAAAATATAGCTGAAAAGGCAAAAAAAAAAGCTTAAACTGCCAAAAGGAAGCAAAAAAAAAACCTGAAAAAATTTGTAATTCACTGAAAAGCTCAAGTTAGATCAAAAGAGCTAAATGGTAGCTGAAAGAGCAGAAAGCTAAAACTAGCAGAAAAAAGGTGAAAGGAGCATAACAAGCTGAAATTAGCATAAAGAAGTTAATTAGGCTGAAAGTACCAGAAAGTAACATGAAAAACTAGAATTTATCTGAAAACAGCTAAAATTTACTAAAAATTAAAAAACTAGCTGAAAAGTTAGGGCAAGCTTAAATTAGCAGAAGAAAGCAGAAAAAACATGTTTCCTCAATTATGCTGAAAGAAGCAGAAATTAGCACAAAAAAGTGGAAATTATCTGGGAAAAGCTGAAATTAGCAACAACAAAAAACAGCAGAAAAGTAGCTAAAATACAAAAAGAAGCTTAAGTTAACGGAAGAAAGTGGAGAGAGCACATTTTTGCTGAATTAGGCTGAAAAAGGTTGATATGTATGCAAAAAACATGGAATTGGTCGAAAAAGCTAAAATTAGCATAAAACAGCTAAATAGTAGTAGCTGAAATGGCAGAAAACACTTAAATTTGCATAAATAAGATGAAAGGAGCATAAAAATTGGCAGAAATAAGTTGGAAGAAGCACAAAAATATTGTAGTTAGCAGAAAGAATTTAAAAGGAACACAAAACAGCTGAAATGAGCTGCAAGTAGCTGGAAAAAAGTTTAAATTTGCACAAGAAAGTTGAAAGAAGCTGAACCAGAACAAAATGTGAAAGGAGCAGTAAAAGGTTGTAAACACATCTAAAGATTTGAAGGATGTAAAATGAGCTCAATTCATAAAAAATAGCAGAAAAGGCTAAATATTTCAAAAAGCTAAAGTTGTACCAATACCAAAAGTCTTAGCAGGATTGTCCTGAAAGAGCTGAATGTTTTGATTCATGATTTGTTGAAAATAAAACAAAAATTGTGGAATGAGAAAGATGCCAAAAAATGTACGGAAGAAAACTGGATCACAATAATGTGAATGCTTCATAAACATTCGCACTATTAAAGAATTAATAGTGAACAGGTGATCAAGAGGACGTTCAGTATCAGAGTGTTGGATTGGGCTGTATGTGGGCCAAAGATAAGAAAAGATAAGTTTATCTCTGCAACAAGCGCTTCAGTTGGATTTTTTTTTTTTTTTAAATGCTGTCAAGTATGAACTGTGGAAAACATTCTGATAAACTTTAAAAATGATCGGCTTCCCATTTGTTGGTCTTTGTAAATCTGTACATTCAAATTTTAAACATCTCATACTATAGTTTATAAAGTACACTGTTTCAGAATACTCTGCTGCATTTTAACTAGTTATCTAGTTTAGGTGTAATAAACATAATCAAGATTATTTAAACAGTTTATACAAATTCTAAGGGAATCAAACCATTATGACAATCTTGACAATGATTTTTTTCCATCATTCATCTTAAAGGAAACACAACAGGCCAATAAACAAGTCCAACGTTTTGCCCTAGTTTCAGCATTTCTCTGCATTAAACAATAATTAATTATAAATAAAGCTTCTCTTGTTTCACCCTGTCCTCCCGGAACAGGTTTGTTTTTTGACGTCAGAAAAGTCAAAATCAGCATCACAGAACGGATCAGCCAAGTCGCTCTTGAAATAGAAGCAGACGTTCCACAGAATCGTTTTGCCTTTAATAGTATTTCTTGTCAGAAAAAAAGCATCATGAAATATATAAATACAAGCATCACGTTAGAAATAAAGTCATCAAACAGGTTTCAATAAATAAATACTTCTCACTGCTGTGGCTTGGGGTGTCCAGCACCGGATCATTTCCTCTGAGTGCTTTCACTCAACTATTTATTTGGTACCACTTTACAATAAGGCTCCCCTTATAGATGGCTAATAAATTATTTATTGCCACGTTATTAATCCTTCTATAAACACTTTATAAATCATTAATAACTGCTTATTATGCATTAATTAAGGGTGACGGAGACAAAACTGACCAGTTTGTTGCCAAATAGTGAGCCAAATCTGTTCACCTATAAATTTCATCTAGAGTTGTTATATTAAACATTTATATTAGTTGCAGATACTTATAATGCAGTGATAAAGTACAATATTATATGCTAAAGAAATAGGTTTACAAATGCTTATTGTGCTTACAACTTAGTCTGAAATGTTTAACTATAATAACTCTATATATAGGTGAACAGATTTGGCAAGGAACTGGTCAGTTTGGTCTCTATCGCTCTTAATTAATGCATAATAAGCAGTTATTTATGATTTATAACATGTTTATTAGAGGCATTAGTAACTTATCTATAAACTACTTATTAGCCATCTATAAGGGAGCCTTAGTGGTACCATTTCCACATACGGTACGTGTAGTGACAACAACACGCCTCGATTTGTGTTTTTCTACGTGGGAATATTCACAGTTACACGTAGATCGCCTCATCTGGTTCAAGGATTAAAATTTAACAGACAATGGAGGGTAAAGGACACCAGGACCAAACTTTCTTTGGATCGTACCAAATTTATCTTTCATCTGCTCTTCAGGTCTGAACACAGGCGCGGCGCTCAGACTCATTAAACTTGATTGAAGCAAAAGTTTTGGGAATGTTTCGTGTATTTCCTGTCACAAAACAAAGAACAATAGTTGATTGTTTTCCTTGCAGCTCGTCTCGGAGGATCCACCCCCGAGATGCCATCAGATATAAAGTTTTTCTGTTTAACATAAATAATTGTATGCACGTTTTATAATTAATAGGCTAAAGTCCTTATTGGTGTTCTGGCCGATCTCCGATGTTAGTCTTAACAGGACTGCTGTCCCCGTTGGCTTGTAACACCTGCAGGGGGTCGTCGCAGGAGGAGATGGTTTCCTTGGACACGGCGCCCGCCTGATCCTGCTCAGGCTGTCCAGGATTTACGTCCTTTGCAGACTGGGAGGGATGGGAAGGATGGGATTCTGATCGCAGAGGATCAGCAGGGTTCACCTCCTCACTCCGTCTCTGCCTCTTTACAAAAGGATGCAGGAACCTCTCTAGCTGGGTCGACGAGGCTTTAAGCGGCCCCCGGCGAGCCACTCGTAGACCGCCACCCCCCAGTCTGATCGGCCAGTTCCCACTTGTAGAGTAAAAGGCATCACGAGGGGTTGCCAGCTTTGACCAAAGACGCTGGAAGAGACAGTCCCGTCTGTCCTTTCGCCTCTGTCACAAACAGAAAAGTCACGTTTACCGTCTCCTCGTGAACGTTTGGTGACTCTGGCGTGAATCAGGCCTCAAAGGTACTCACAGACTTGGACAGCTCGCCGTTCACGTCTGCACAGAGGAGCCGCTTTTTGCTCAAATCAAAGATTGACACAAAAGTGTTTCTAGTCGTTTTTATTGGAAAAATAACTAGAAGAAAGTGTAAACAAATCAGTGAATAGTTAAATGTCTGTAAATGTTAACGTGGTTGTTTTTTGAAGGTTTCTTAAATAGCTTGAAAACCATCCTGAATTAAATATTTTAATTGGCTTAACACAACATATATTAAAAACACACATTCTATATACAAATACATTTATAGGACAGTTACAGCCATGTTAAGAGGGCTTCAGATAAACTGGCTCATAATAAACACGATTCATATTTTAATTTACTATATAAAAAGACAATTATGTAGCTGTGTATACAAACACTTACCCAGAAGGCCTCTGTGAATATGTTTTCCTGTCGACCCGTTTTGTTCTGAGTAGAACGGTCCGGCACCGGCAGACATGAGCGCTGCA